AAAAATGCCGCTGGGTAACAGCCACGGGGATTTTTAGGATTGGGATGTACATCTGAATCCCGAAAGCTTGGGATTATTCTCCCCCTGCAGCTGCGAATTCTGCAGATTGTACATATTAAAGGCAAAATATCATATTTTTATGAATTTTTACTGGCGGTGGTAGCGTTACCCGGAGCCCTTTGCTGGGGGGTCCTGGGGTGGTTTTGGGATGCAGGTGCCCGTGCCCGGATGCTCACTTCCCTCTCTCCTCCTCCTCCTCAGTATTACGCTTCACCTGAAGATTTCGTGCCCGTCGTCTCCCGCATTTAACTACTCCCGAAACCCCATCTGCGCCGTGCCCCAGGTGAAGATAGAGATGGAGTCGGACTATGAGGACACTGACACCGAAAAACCACCTCGGGACATGGGCAGTGAGACCACGCTATAGTACCGCGCAGCGCTTCCTCTGCGATTTATATATATATATAGAGATATTTATATATTCATATATATATATAAAGCAAATTGGGCTTATTTTTCTATGTGAGATGGAGGAGACCGGTGGTCCCGGGGTCCGTTGCTCCGGTAGTTTTTAGCGTCACGACTTAAACGCGTTACTGAATTTTCTCCCTTACTGCCGGGCGAAGGCGTCGCCGCTGATGGCGAAATGGGGCTGAAATGGGCTGGAGAAGCTGAAGGTGGCCGGGGCTGTGGGAGCAGCCAGGATGCTGATGGGGGAGGGGACTGCGCTGGGGTGATGTTTTTGAGGGGGATTTTTGGGGTGGGGAGGAGGTTTTCATGGCTGAGAAGGAAGGGGGAGCGTGCGTCCCTGCTCCCCAGTCCCTGAAATCACAACGCGGCTCTCGGGGAGTCTCGTTTTGTGAAGGGGATGGTGCGTCGGGCTTTGTGTTGGCAGGAGGACGCCGGTCCAAGCCACGGCAACGGGAGTCCCTTCTTGCGGTACAGCATCCCGGGCGTGGCGGCAGGGATGCAGGAGGGACCCGCCGGCCGGGGAGGGACCCGGCTCTGCTCGCCCCGGGGTGGATGCGTAGGACGAGGAGGGCATGGCGGGGTTGTAAAGGAGCCGGTGGCCTGGAGCGATGCCCCAGGGAGGGAAGGAGGAACAGCAGCTCTGGTTTAAGGGCAACAGCAGCCGGGCTGCGGTGGGAGAGCAGAGCAGGGAACGGGGCCTTGGTTTCCGCAGGGAATCGGGAACGGTTTCTACCGGGAAACGGGAACGGTTGCTGCAGTGAGGCCGTTTGGTCGCCCGTCCCCATGTCCTCACCCCCAGCTCTCCCAGGGCCACCCCTGGCCCCAGGGTTGGTAGCGGCCCTATCTCTCCCTCCGGATGGGAGCGAGACGTGCCCAAGCCGTTATCTCGCTGGAGGAGCCTGCTCTGCCTGCCCAGCCCCTGCGCAGGGGGCTTTGCACCCACTTTACCTCCTCGATCCTGCTTATTCGCGCGTGGTTTAACAGCAAGTGGCTCGTAACGGGGAGGGGAGAGCAAGCGTGCCCCCCGCCACGTACCTACCTGTGCTTTCGGGCTCGCATCCAGCAGCTCCCTGCTTGGTCTCCGTCGGCATTTCGGCTCCCCAAAGGGCTCTTCCCACCCGCCGCTGCCTTTGGGTCCTCGGGGAACGGAAGGGAAGGGAGCAGCTTAGGAGCCAGCGCAGGCACCGAGCTCGGCTTGGCTCTGCCCAGCTCTCACCACCTTTTTTTCTTCCAGCAGCACCAGGGCGGGGATGAGACTTTTACAGGGTTTCTTCTCCTTCCGCGGGCTAAGCCCAGCTGCGGTTTAGAAACGCTGGTCTGAAGCAACCCTCTCAAATCTGTTTCTTTTACTCATTTTCGCTAGATGGATTCTTTCCCCGTTCCCCCCCCGCCCCAGAGCCTCAAGCCTCACAGAGCCCAACCCTTCCCCTGAGCAGAAACAGTCTACCTGATATTTATACCAGCCGTACGGGGGTTTCTGGGACACCAGTTAAATATTGCAACTGGTCTGAACCTTTGCATGGGACAGATCCCAGTTCTCTGTAAATAGTCGAGTCCAACAAAGGCTTGAAGGCAGTTTCCTATTTATAGCCTTTTTTTTTTTTTTTCTGGTTCAAGTACGCCTCCTGGGAAACGTGGCGAGATAACTAACAGTATTACTCCCATCACCACTTAAGCGAGAGCCACGTGGCTTGACGTTAACGTTAAGAACTATTTCAACTTGAACGCATCGTGTCTATTTTGTAGCATTTTGTACCCATCTCCTGTGTGGTAGCTGAAGCGTGGTACAGGTAGGCTTACCATTTTAATCGAACGGGTTAATTCGCTTTAGCCAGTACGTCAGCTCTACTACGCAAGACCCTCAGAGAGGCTTTGGGGACTCTGGTAGATGTTTCGTAGAGCAGAGCTGAAGCCGCTCCAGCTTGTTTTGACTAAATTTGTCCGTTTTGCAAGGTTCACAGGCGGTTTATTACTTTTCGTACACGAAAACAGCGGAGCGTCTCCGATTTGCCACCTCCATTACAGTACCACTTTAGCCATTTTGTATTTTTCGGTGATACAACCCAATAAACCTCGTTTCAATGAGTCTCAGCTCTTAGCGTGTTTCTGGTGCAGAGTCCTTGAACTTCAGCTTTCCTTCCCCCTTGTTTAGTGTTTTTATAAGCACTTCCCCCCTCCAGGAGAGAGCCATGAACGCGGGGTTAGTGCCGACTCACCTGCTGCCTCCAGCAACAGCCCTTTAGCGTCACAACAAACCCTTCCCGCTCCCAGAAAGGTGGGATCAGTCTTTCCAGGGAACAGGCGAAGAGGAAGGAGTCCAAGACTCACCGCGCTGCCCACAAACAATACTGCGTGTAAGTTTTTTTTCCATCCTGCCCGAGGCATCGCGACCTCAGGTAAGGTTAATGTTCACTGGATAATTAGAGCTTTGCAAACAAACTCATTAGAGGACTAAGTTTATATTGTCATGCTGATGTAGTTAGGAAACAGAATCAGGAAGCTGAACAGGTTTTGTTCGGGCATAGAAAGTAAGAGACAGTCTTATTTCTAAGCCGAGTTGGTGATGCCTGTAGCTGTTGCGTCTCAGCTAAATTCAGGGAAGAAGCCAGACCTGACCCTGTTCCGTAGGGACAAGAGGGAAGCTCCTAGCACAAGTGCTTTCATAAACTCTTGCCGAGGGCAGCTCTCCTCTTCTGGAGGAGTGAAAGACTTGCTTAGTAATAATTCTAGGACACAAGCAGAGCTTGGGTTTGGGTTTTGGTTTTTTTTTTTCCTTCTCATTCTTTATTTAGAGTTAGCCTGCATTATTCACTAAGTGCTTGCATGCTTTACAATACAGTTCAGGAAACCTCCTGTGTGCCCAACGTAGACACCAACAGCCCCCCCCCCATTGTTCTTTGGTTAGAAGAGGGAAAAAAAAAAAAAGGCTTTTAAAAAAAAAAGGCACCATCCAAATAGCAAAAAACCAGTTTAGCTGCACACATGTTACAACAGATCTGCCACTGCCCAGGGCCCCGCGCAGGCTGAGAACAGGCACGTGGCTTTTCTCGAGTAACTTCTTCTACGGAAGAGCTTAACTCAAACTAAACATCCAGCGTTGAGTAGAAGACTGGAGCGAGTCAAACGCGAGCAGTCCAAACAGACTGAGCATCTGTGGGATCAGAACCATGAAGGCCGTTGCTTTTGCACCGCGGAGCAGCGCTCTATCTCCCACGGGATTGCTAACGCCAACACCAAGCTCCCAGGGGAGCGGCACACCCAGGATCCCGACCGCTGCCTAGTCCCTGCAAGAGCAGGGCCGGCTTCCTAGAAGAGCTAGCTTCAACGTAAAGCTGCTTTGCTAGCGTGAGCAGGCCAGGAGTGTAGATGCTTACACCTCAGTACGACTAATGTGCATATGCTTCAGCTTCAAATAAATACCTATGACCTCAGGATAGGAAATTCCACTTCCAATACAATAAATAAAAATATTGCATTTTCTATCGGCCTGTTTGGGAGTCAGTTTGGAATGTTGTTTCCAGTGCTAGAGAGAGTCCTACGTTAAGCAGTTAACGCTTCCAGCTCTTTGGGTTTCAACAGCTTCTTGGCAGCGATGATGGTGTTCTTCATCAGCATGGCAACTGTCATGGGCCCAACTCCCCCGGGGACCGGAGTGATGTAGCTGGCTTTCTTCTTCACCCCTGCAGGAAGGAAAGCTAGAGCTTAGCGTGCAAGTCAAGAGCGGCAACACTTGTCGAGCTGGCTGGCCAGCATGAAGCTGGAACCAGTCTAACATCGCTCCAATTCCTCCAAGATTGCCAGCTAAGGAGTAGCAGTCTCTCAAGGTAGACTTCCCCCCCCCCCATTAGCCAGGGCAGAGCACACCATGGTCTGTCCATCCCTGGTACTGAGCAAGCTTAACCGCAAAGCCCGAGCTGGGGGCGGAGAGGGGGAAGCAAAAAGCAAGGTCTAATAGCTGGACTTATAGCACAGAAACATCAAGTCCAAGACTAGATGTGGGCTTGGCACGTGCTCTTGAGGGCGGCCGCAATAGAAGTACTAACGGTCTGAACACTCGCCCTCTCTCTCTTCCAGGAGGAGGTTCTGGTGTCTCTCGCCAGGCACCTGGAGGTGCAGGGCTCATCGCAACAGCCCGTCCGGGCACCGTTGCAGCTAAGTGGTGAGCAAGGCCAGTGAACAGCAAGCCAGGAGGTAAGTTAAGTTCTGCATGTTTTTGTTTAAAAGTAGGAGTATGAGTGATGAATCGGAGTAGAGGCAGAGCAACCCAACTGCTTCGGTTCAGGATGAGCCTCCTCTGCCTTGCAGCATACAGCTTTCCCAGGGCATATTACAGGAAGGCTGCGCCCTTGCATATGGTACAATATTGGATGTTGGATTCACAGAATCATTTAGGTTGTGAAAGACCTTTAAGATAATCAAGTCCAACCATCAACCCCACACTGCCAAGTCCACCACTAAACCATGGCCCTGAGCACCATGTCTACGCATCTTTTAAACACCTCCAGGGATGGGGACTCCACCCCTTCCCTGGGCAGCCTGTTCCAATGTTTATCCACTCTTTCAGTAAAGACATTTTTCCTAATATCCCATCTAAACCTCCCCTAGCACAACTTGAGGCTGTTTTGTTTCATCCTATCGCTTGTTACTTGGGAGAAGAGACCGACCCCCACCTCACTACAACCTCCTTTCAGGGGGTTGTAGAGAGCGATGAGGTCTCCCCTCAGCCTCCTCTTCTCCAGGCTGAACAACCCCAGTTCCCTCAGCCGCTCCTCA